GCTTTTCCTCTTTTTAATGTAGTGGTCTCCCAAGTCCGTTCCCTTCCTCCGTGCCTGTGGCGCTGGGAAGTCTCATGCCTTTCCTTGTGTCTCTGTAAGACGGCTCTGCTGCTCCTCTCTGTCTTTGTTGGCATTGTCTCGGGAGCCAGCTTCTTATCTTTGCATCTTACCCAGAGGTAGCCTGGTTGCCACGGGAGATGAATGACCCGCAGCCCTCTTTCATCAATGGCCTTCCCCCATTAGCAAGACTTTTTTTTCCCCCAGAAACTAGGTCACTACAAATCAGCAACACGGCTTGCTCACATGTCTATCACAGCTACACGTTCACACATTTTATTTCGCCAAAAGCAAACCAAGTGAACAGAGGGACTTGGGTACTTTTACTTTAGATATCGTGTAAGGGAAAAAAAAGACATCTCTTTCTACATGTACACTTCCATTTATGGACTAAGGCCACAATGGCTGGAATTTAATCTGCTTCTGGTTGAGCAGTTCTGCAATTTCAGTTTATAAAGGCCTGACTATCATGAGTCCAAACTCTATCCAAAGCAGACTCCAGAAAACAGATTTTCCTATTAATTAGCGTTGATCCATAACTAAATTGCAGAGCCAGTAATTCAGGAATTCAAATCCAACCTCGCCTGCGCAATCCAAAATTTACTTGGTAGTGATTAAGATCGTAGGTTCCAATGTAAACTCACTTATTATCCATAGGATAAACTAGCTCACCTCTGAATTGACAGGAAAGCAGGATAGCAGTAAATGAACTTAGCTGCCCAAGATAAGTTATAATAAACACACACCAATGACACAGATAGTTCAGTGTCCCAGTTCAGAGTCACTAAACAACTTCACACCCTGCGAGATATTTCTAAATCTGAGTCTCTCAGAACAGAGGAATGCACTTAAACAGCTTAACCTACTTTGTTTCCTTCATAAACTTACTTACTGCTAATTTATTTTCCTTTTTGGGAGATCAACAAGAATTACTTTGTGAATAATGAGTCTTCATGCTTTTTTTTTTTATTCTTTAAGTACATTTTTGACACTGGCAGAGAACATCACAGAAGCTGTGTTGCGAAATATGAATTTCCAAAGGCAACTGCTTTTTACAACGCAACATCACAAAGTTTTAGTCCTCTTACCTGCTCCTCCTGCTAGTTTCTGTAGCACAGGAGGCCATGTTGAAAAAGCAGGGAGAAGATCTGGATAGGCCCACAGAGTATACACTGTCCCAAAACAAAACCAAATTTAAAGATGCATCATAACTTCTCTAGCTGTTGCTTCTTGTCATCTCTAAGACTAAGCAGTACAATACTAACCACAATTAAATACTCTTCTGCCACTCAGGTAATCAAGAAATTTGAAGTCAGAGCAATCCTACAATAATTAGTAGATGTGATGGAGAAAAACTGCCAATGATTTCAAGCTTCTGTGGATTGTTGAAAAGGATATATTAGATAAATGTTTGCACTATTTTCCTTAAATTAAGGGCACTTTAAGCTATGCTGCTAAGGGAAGAATTGCTGGGTGGGGGAAAAACGAGCATAGAGTATAAGAACAATTCATTGCCTAATTCGAGGGATGCCTGGAAGTGAACATCACGCTTCTAGGAATTACAGCTTGCAGTTACTGGACAAAAAGGGGCTAGGACACCACTAACCTATGACTGACTAGACTTGTTTCCCAGTTTCTATGCTAGAGCAGACTTTCTTGAACCCTGTCACCTCTCAGCATCTCAATTTCCTTTTAGCACAAAGAATCCAGAAGTGCTGCTGGATTTAAATAGATGTTGAGAGAATAAATACATTAAAGATTGTGAAGATGCTACAGTGATGGGAGACATATAAGTACTTAAGAAACAAGCAAAACTTTTGGAGAGGGGTTGGTGTCCAACAGGTAAAAAGAGAGAGAGGGAGGTTACTTCAGTCCACTTCCCGTACCTGTTGGGTACAGAGCTTTTTCAATTTCAAACAGAATTGGGTTCCTGCTGTTTGTATAAACAGTGATGGCCTCCCCTTTGTGAGTGTGTATTTTGATGACATTAAGCTCTTCTTTGTTTGGAATAAACTCAGTCAATTGTTCAGCACTAAGGTTAGGAAAAGCTGCTGCAACATCAGTTCGTAGTTTTCTCCTGCAAAGATAAATCACAGACGTGTTACAAAGTTGTCTAGACCACCTCTTAAAATAATTACCAATTACTACTTTGATGGTTATTCAGGAGACTTCCACTTTTTTTTTTTTTCCACAGAAGCTAATTTGAAGTGTTTGTGTCTGGGTTTACACATGAAATATTCACGTACTGGGAGAAACAGGGCAAAAGACCAAATAAGCTTGTCCTGTTATTCTTCCTTAAGCATCTGCCCATCGCTGCTGCAGCTGCCTCTGCTTGTTTTGCACCGTAATTTCATTACTGCTCGGAAAACCTGAGCACAAATCGGGTCCGATCAGATCTAGCCAGGTCTGGCCTGCCACCGACGCACACCTGGGGCTCCAGCATGGAGGGGCAGGCAGCAGGATTTCCCTCTCCGCCCTCTCCCCTTCAGACAGTTTTAAGAGACACATAGACCCGGGCAGTTTTGTGTGGTTTTGTTCACAGAAGTGTCAAGGGGATATAAAAGTATTAGCAGGTCACACTAGCATCACTAGACGCAGTGTACTAGCATGTACACTGTACATGTCAGAACGTGTAAGTGAAGGGAAACGGCAAGCTCGGCCTTGATATAAAGTCATTTAAAAGCTACTCCAATGATGGCTGCACCTCCAAACAAAAAAATAAAAATAAAAAGGCATTTTATACTCAGGCTGGTAACTCATATTGTTTAATCACAAACAAAAGGCAAGAGCAGCCTTGCTCCAAGACAGCTATCCCCGCCTCTCTCGCTGCGAAAGCAGACGGCTGCTAAGCGAGGGCGCCGAGGACCTGCGCACCGAGCCGGGCTGAATTTTAACGATCTCAGCTAAAATCAGCCCTACCCGTGTACCGTTTGAGCCCCGACAGGCTTTCGGGGGGCGAAGGGGCCGGGGCAGAGCGGGGCGGCCGCGGTCGGGGGCCGATCT